CTGAGTCTGGCCTTCATAATTCCATTCCATCACAAATATAGTCCCTATCAAGCTATTGTACATACACAGTACTGGTTTATATAGGCCTTGGGAATGATTCCTCCAGGTAAATGAAGACTCTGCAACTGCGCTGCAATTAAGTTGCCCAATTAAAGAAATCACATTAATGTTTTAAAAGCTGAAAATTGAGTTTGTGGAAGGGGTGTGTGATATGTGTGCAAACTTGCAGAACCGTTTTACTTGACGATTAAATAGATTTGCCAAGAATGTTATGAAGATGCATTCCCTTTGTGCTCTGCATGATAGAAACTCCTTCAGATGGGAGTACCTAAATTTACAGGAAACCTGGATTGCTGCTGCTGCTGCCGCCAGTCAGTGTTGACAGTATCAACAACCCACTCAGTGATTTCCAGGCTTCAAGGAGACAAGTCTTCAATAAGCTGTTTTTTCATTACCAATACTAGGAAAGTCATAAATAAAGCATAAAACCAGCCCTGCCAACTATAAACCTCGAGCCATATATATACAGTATCAGTTCCAAAAATTAAATCTTGCATCTCTTTTTGCTGCCTGCACACCCTGGTGGACTGGCAGCTGGTTGTTTCTCAGAGAGAGGGGTGCCTCGTTCTTGTAAAGGGTCTCCCTGGTCTCTGTTTCTTTGCATCTGACTTTGATCCTTCCAGCCCTCACAGTGGCCTCCTTTGTATCTAATTGCTAATGGACCCCAGCTCTGAGCATAACCTTTATTTCCTCCCTGCTCTATTGCACTCTCAGGGTGGAGCTGTCCAACACAGGGAATGTGCAACTGGAGTATTCCTGGAAAGTAGTCATGGAAGAAAGTGGGAAGGCAGTAAACTTCGCTACTGAACCTTTGTCCACAACCCCAGAAGGTATAGCTTTCTCTGCCCCCTTTCCTTTTCCTTTTCCTCTTCCCTTCCTAACACTCATCTGCTGCAAGGATCTCAAGAACTTTGCTGCAGATCTTCTGCTTTGTGTTTATGCACTGTCTGCTACCATCCTTTGTATCCTACAACAGTCTCTGGATGGCCTTTCCCACAATTGGACTTCAGCTCCCAGAATTCCCAGCTATGACTTTGTTGGCCGGGATGTTCTGGAAGTGGAAATCAATACTTCTGGAGGGAACCCAAACTGTGGAAACTAGGTCTGGAACATCAGCTGGAAAGGATGTAGTTTGCTGTGAGTTTGTATCAGAAGCCTAGAAAATGTTTATGTCAGTAGATGAGTCTCTAATATATGATTCATATTAGAGCAGATTTCCTCAGTCTAATATTGTACTGGCTAGGAATTTCTGGAGGGAACTATTTTGGAAAAAGTTCTCTTAGGAAGTGAAAAGCAAATGGAATATCAGCCTGAAGAAAGGATTTGCAGAAATGCTGTGTTCCTTTAACCAGGGGACCCATCTGGAGCATCAACTGCTTCCATCAAGGCACAGTCTAGCCGACCACTCAGCCAGCTCGGAAGCATGCTGGATAGTTTATCTTCCTACGTCTTCCCGGTGGTCATCCGCCCTCCATTCTTCATGGAGCCTAGCAGTGGGACTGTTCCTCCTGGGAAATCTCAGTCCCTCCAAGTGAAATTCTCTCCCCAGGAAGTAGGAGAGTTTGAGGGTCGTCTACTCTGCAGGTAAGAAACCATCTCATCAAGCCATGGTGAGCATGTTTTACAGTAAAGCAGGTTAAGTCTCGGCTGGGAGGCTGCAGCTTTCATACTACAATTCTGCCCATCGCATAGACTATTGTTACTACAATGTTGAGTTTCCCCTGAATGTATTAGCAAGAGCTGACACAAAGGGCAAAAGGTAGCATCTCACACTACATTTGAAGTTCCATCAGTACTTGAGAATATGGATTACCATTATTTTATTACTTTTAAACCAAAGTTGTTTTGTCTGGAGCAATATTTTGGGCATTGTGTGGTACAGACAGAATTTTTTACCCTTTTGTTACTGCAGTGAACCTGGTTTCATGGAGAGATCAGATGACACAGTCCAGCTCTACAAGTTAGCATATTTTGTGCCAAATTTTTAATATTGGAAGTTGGGTGTGCTTCATGGCTGACTTACAGGAGGACAATCTAATGGATTCTAAGCTTTAAGATTGCTGTGGGGATGAAGAAGTTAACACAGAAATTATAAGGCTAGTCCATGGAAGTTAAAATAAGATATAGTAAAAACCTGAATAGGAGGAAATTTTTTGCCAACTTTTTTGCCAAATTTTCAAACCACCCATGGGCCAAATGACATCTTTTAAAATTAATTTCTAAAATTATTATTTATTAAATTTACAAATGTAATTATAAAAAAAGCAAGAAAAATATAGAAAAAGTAAGTTGTAACTAAAGAGAGGGTTTACAAGCATGATAAAATTGACCAAAAAATTGAAAGGATATTGATATGATCTAGTGATTTTATATCTACATATTAAAATATATTTTACTGATTTGAAAGTTGAAGTCTGTGTTAAAATAAATCAATATTAGGTTCACAGCTTTAATTAACAGCTTTAGCAAGACATCATGGCTGGGTTTGCACAATACGCTTCACAAGTCAGGGACTTAACAGCTGCATCAAGCACAGCTCTCTTTTCCTGCTCCAAGCTGGGACCTCCTGCCAACAGCCTCCATGTTGTCCCCGACATGGGTAGGTGTGCTGAATAAATGTCTTCAGGATAAGTTGCAGCTGATTTTGGGCAGGAAAGCACATGGGGACTGAATCTGGAGAAGAAATGCAGGATTGATCGACATTGATTGATTGAGTGAATAAATAAATAAAAAAGCAAGCAAGCAAGCATTGTAGATGCTTGTCATTCCAGTAAAAGTGACAGCATATTTTTAAAAACATCTATGGGTTAGATTTGTTGATAGGTTCTTCAAGGTGTGAGAACAAGACAAGAGCACCTCCAGGAGGACCAAGATGGCCTTGCTCAGTTCAGTACTTCCCAAAACTGGCTGCAACTTTGGAAAAAAAAAAATGTTACATCACATGCTTGCCTTTGTGCCTCTGCAGAGAAACATTCCAGAACATTCTGTCACTGCACATTTTGGTGGGAAGTCCTCCCCAAGAGCCTAGCCATACCAAATTTCCTCAATTCCCTTTTGACTTTATAAGAAACCTCTCCACTGAAATAGAACTTAATTTTTTAAATGTCAATGTTTGTGTTATCTTTCTCATATCTATCCTTTGCTGTGTTTTCATTTGGTTGCAGCATTTTTATACTGAAATTTGGCTGGATGTTCACTAAGATGCTCTTCAGGAGACATGCTGTCTGTGAAAGTAAAAGACAGCCCACTGAAGGTTATTCCTGGTACTTATTTTATCATGGAAAACATCAGAAAGTTGAAACCTGTTTTGGTGTCAATACTTTACTCTTGAAAGACTTAATGGTCAAGCATCCAACTTCAAGTTAGAACAAGTGGTTCAGGCAATAATACTTTTACCAAAACAGCCTGGTACCTCAGGTGCTTTGCCTATTCCATGTAAAGCCCCAGTCCCTGACATGACACAATTACAGATACCCTTTTCAGCCCCTTTCATCAGTGGCCTCATCTTGATCTTCACAGGTGATGCTGAGACATACTGGGTATTTCTGTAATTCCCTCTTCCTCTTCTTTGATCCCTAATATTGATGGCTCAGATGGAGAGAATAGAAGAGGAGCCCCAGATTTTTGTTTCCACTTTTGCAGATGAGATCCAGGATTGCTGTCACACCAGTCCTCATATCCTCCTGGATTCTCAGTAACATTCCAGATGTTGTTCTTGATGCCTCTCCCTAGCCACTATTGCCTCTCCTGATTCTTTTTCCATATCACCTGGTCACTGCAGCATTAGAGAATGAGAACTTGTAAAATTTGGTTTGTCGGTCCTCTTCTTGAAAGAGGTAATTACCAGCATACCCTATGACTACTGTCATTATTCAGTTTTTGGGAGTGCAATAGGTCTCCTCTTGGGGGTCATTTTATAAGATCGCGTTCACCATATTGGTCCTAAGTGATCCAGGCCTGTGAAGGCATATGCAGTTACATACAAATTCCTCTGCATCAAACTGCACAGTCTTCAAAAACAATAATGGCTCTCCCAGTGACTTCAGGAGGGACACGCTCAGTCCTCCCAATGAACATCTAATCTTGTGTTTTCTTTGGATTTACTCACTGCAAATTTGGCCTCATGTTCGTCTGCTATGGTTGCTTTATTTTTAGCCTCCTTTCTGCTCCACCTTTGAATTATCCACCTTCAGCCTCACTTATCTGTCCTCTAAAACTACAATCCTCTCAGAATGTTGCAGTCATAGTTCTTCAGGTAGGTACCAAACCATTCTATTCCTTTGGAACTAGAAGATTATGGATCAGATTTAGAGTCTGCATCTTCTGCTTTCCACCTGTCAGCCTTGCAAGGTAGTCCAGACAAGAAGCTCACCCAAAAGAATTAGCTCTACTTTATTGTAAGATTACAGTAACAGAATCCTGCAAATCTAAAAGTACATTTCTCCCCTGTTGCCTTTTTGATTATGTGCCATCAAGTTGTTTACGACTCCTAGCGACCATATATACAGACTTTCTCCATGACAAGCTATCCTTAACCTGTTCCTTCAAGTCTCCCAACAGTGCACCTGTCATCCCTGTAATCAAGTCCACTCCCCTCATTGCAGGTCTTCCTCTTTTTCTCTTTCCATCCACTTCCTTCCATCAGAGCCTTCTCCAGAGAGCTGGGTCTTTGCAGAATATGTCCGAAGTAGGATAATTTGAGCCTGGACATTTGTGCCTCGAGTGAGAACTCTGGGTTGATTTGTTCAATGATCCATCAGTTTGTTTTCTGGGCTATCCATGGTATTCTCAGGACTCTTCTCCAACACCAAAGTTCAAAAGTGTCAATACTCATCCTATCCTGCTTCTTCAAAGTCCACCTTTCACATCCATTGAGTGTCACAGGGAACACCATGGCTTCATGATTCTGACCTTGTAGGTATAGACAC